TTCTGTGTTCCAGGATCTTAAACTATATTTCTTTCATATTTTTATACATCTGTATGTTGTATTTTGTGTAAGTTTTTCATCTCTCTTCCAATTCACTAAATTCTGTATTCATTCCCCCACCGATTTTTAAGATCTTTGTTTTCATTTCCAGTGATTACATTTTTCATGGTCACTTTTACAAAACCATGCCTAGCCTTTTCTTCCATGTGCTAATTTTAAAATTTTAATCTTTTAGCCTGGCCGGGCGTGGCTCAGCGGTTGAGCATGGACCTAGGATCCAGGCGATCAGGGTTCGATTCCTGGTCAGGGCACATGCCCGGGTTGCCAGCTCGATCAGTGACTCTCTCATCATTGATGTTTCTATCTCTCTCTCTCCCTCTCCTTTCCTCTCTCTGAAAATCAATAAAGATATATTTTAAAAAAATGTAATCTTTTAAAGATTTGATACATAATTATTCAATATCATTTAATGCCAATGTATGAAATCTTTGGGTATCTTATTGTGCCTTTGTTTATGTGATTATTTGAGCTGGCTGTGAGTCACAGAGGCTAATTGGTCGCTTTCCGGCTAATTTTTCACTGTTAGCCCTTATTCAGATAATTGTATTCTATGAGAATCCTGAAGTACCTTATGAAAGGTGCTAGGAATTCTTTTTTCTTAGCAAATTCTCCCTCTGGCTTTATGCAAGGCTATCAGTTCTAATTTCTTATTTTATGTAGACTCAGCTCCTTTTATTAGTTTTCCCACTTCATCTTTCAAGATTAGACTTCTGGGTTCCTTTTATCTGTAATGTAGCTTCAGTCTTTACTCACCACTTCTTGGACTTCATACTTTCTTTCGATGATTATTTTGCATAAATTCTGGAATTTTTCTTAAAGCAATTTTTAGGATGGTCATTTAGTCATAAACTCTGCTGTGTTTTCTCTATCTTCTGCTATCTCCTTGTCAACTCTTGGGATTTGCTTTACATTTTTCAGGCTCAGGACTCTGTTATGTATTTAAAAGCCTTTTATATTGCACTCCATCCAACATTTAACTTTTTTGTAGTTTGAGAGTTGGCTTATTTTTTAAAAAGATAATATCATCCACTTGTGTGTCCAGTTTCAATAAAAGTCCCAGATTGTAAATCCTTTTAAGTCAGGGACTTTGTCTTGCTCTTCATTTCATCTCTCCTATCTTCCTGCCCCCACCTCAATGTCTAACATAGAGTAGGTGATCAATTTTTAAAAAAAGATGAAACAATGCATTTTACCTTAAGTAAGTTTGCTCTGTCAGTTTCGAATGTTTTGCCTTTTGGAATTCTCAGCCAGGGGCTCCCATTGGAAGTCATTGACAATACACAGTTGGTACTTTAGGTTTGAACTGTGTGGGACCACTCATATGCAGATTTTTTTCAATAAATATTGTAAATGTATTCTCTCTTCCTTATGATTTTCTTAATGACCTTCTATTCTCTAGCTTACTTTATTGTAAGAATACAGTATATAATACATATAACATATAAAATATATGTAATCAGTTGCTTATGTTATCAGTATGGCTTCTGGTAAAGAGTAGGCTATTAGTAGTTAAGTTTTGGGGAGTCAAAAGTTATACGTGGATTTTCAGTAGCAAGGGCTGTCAGTGCCTTAACCTCTGTGTTCAAGGGTCAACTGTAATTCAATTAAACATTATATGGATCATTATTTTTTATCTTGGGTTTTCATCTTAGCTCCATCATTTAATGATCATGTGATCTTGGAAAACTGAGTAATAATTTTTAAAGTGAAAGTAGGAAACAATGCAAGAAGGAGTTTGGGGCACAATGATACAAGGTGTTTGATGACTTGGCACACTATGAAAGCACTGGAACCGTTAAGACTTTCCCTCCTTCCTTAATAAACTGGACAAGCACAGCCCTGGTTGCTATCAGTATGTTGCCCCTTTTGGTACAAGTAGAGAAAAAGTGATAAGGCAATAATCAGCTGAAAATAATTTTACCTTTTGGCAGCAAAATATAAATTTGCTTAATAAAATATTATGTGACTGAATTACTCTGATTTACTTTGGGTGCCATCATTCCAGTTCATTCTTTATCTAAATGATGAATGGCAGTTGAAACAGTGTAGGGTAATGTTATTTTTACTAGACAATAACAGTTGATAAAGGAGTTTCCCTGCTGAAACTAGGCAATAAATAGCTATGACAGCAGAAAATATGTGATTTTTAAAAAATGGAAAATAGGGAATATATAAAATGTTATGGGACCTGAATTCAGAATCAGGATGTAAAATTGAAATGTTTCGGTTTGTATGCTTCCTTACTCTTTTTTTATTTCCCTTCCCTCTTCCCTGCTGAGGAAAGCCTGAAATGGGCTTGACATGATACGATCGCTTACTTTAGTGTGGGAGGATGGTGGAGTGTATTGCTAATATAACATGAAACTGCAATTCCAAAATCTAAAAGGCCTTTTAAAATAGCACACAATTTAGAAATGGAAAAGCAACATTGACCACAAGAATTATATATCTATTATGTAGCAGCATTTTAAAATTTAACTTATTCATAGTGTTTATTTTCACGTGCCTATCAAAAGTTGAAATGATTATAAGCCCTTGTTAACTTCAGTCAATTAGCAGTTCCCTATTGAGCAACGCCTATCTGCCAGGAACAATTCCTATCTGCCAGGAACTCGGCTAGTAACTGGGGATACGACAGTGAGAAGGCCTGGAGCCTGCTTCATCGTCACAGACTAGTGGAGGGATCACAGGAGTAGACAGACGGAGACCACGCCAGACCTGTGGGTGCCAGGACGAATGACAGCAGAAGGCCGTGAGGGAGCCCAGGAGTGAAATTGAACTCAGTCTAGGAAAATCAGCCAAGATACCTTACCGAAAGTCCTCTAAGCTGGGAAATGAAGGATAGTTAGTATTAACCTGATGATTGGGCTGAGAAGAGATCGGAGAGCTGGAGCCTGGCATGTTCCGAGCTCTGCCACTGAGCTAGTTTTGTAAAATTGTGACTGAGACGATAAGGGAGGGCATCATAAGCGGTGAACCTCAAAAGGTAAGCTGTGCTTGTGAGCCATGCTAAAGGGTGTGACATTTATACTGATTTCAGATGCAGTTCTGTCGGAGTGGATTTGTGCCTTGGAATGGTTGCTCTGCCTGAAGAATGGAAAATGCATTGTGGGTAAGAGAAACATCTGGTTCGCGGTGTTCCTGAGATGAGAGCTGATGGAGTCTCCAGCTCATATGTAGAATGTATGAGACTTGATGGCTGATAGTGGAGCAGGCAGGTGAGAGTGGGCCAGGACCAGCATACAGGTTCCTGGCTTGGAAGCTGGACCAGAAGAAGGTGCCATTCATTGAACTATAACATATGGGCGTCATAGGTGATCGGTTGGGAGGACGAAAGGAAGACGGGTTTAGTTTTTGATTCAAGGAGACGTGTCAATCGGGCTGTCTGTCCATGTGTTATATGAGCATGTGCAGGTGTACCCAGGAAGAAGACAAGCTATACGTTTGAGCAACATATCATATCAGGACTTCAGAGGTAAATTTATGAGATGAAAATTTATAGATAATACTTAAAATTGTAAGTGTGGAGAGAAAGTCTAGGAAAAAGTGAAAAAATTGTATAACCTGAACAGAGAGGAGGACTGATGTGGAACTATAAGGGTAACCAGCATTTAAGAGACACACAAAGAGGAGTGGCAAGGTATCACTCAAAATCATTTACAAAACAGAGAAATATGGAGAACAGATATTTCTGAAGCTGGAATGAAGCGCAGAGCAGTGAAATGCTAGGTAACGGGGAGTGCTCAGTGACAGGGAAAAATTATGAATTTTCCTCCCAGAGTCCTGAATGCTCATAGCTTAGAACTTTATATTTTTATTGGGTCTTTTCTTTCTAGAATGTGGGAGAAATCTTACTTTTCTCAAACTTCCTTTAAATGTGCAGATGCATTTGCTGCCCATGGGCTATGGTCCCTTCCGCAGAACATTCTCCACTTGCTTCTCACAATCTCCTGAGCTGTCTTTGTCTCCTGTTATATTGCAGAAATTAAAAGAAAGCACTTGAAAAAGAACTTTAACATAACTTTAAGAAGTTAAGTATAAAAGAATAGTTTGGATATTCATCTTCATATAACTTCTATAATTATTCAGCTCCGCAGAATTTTATTATTAGTAGGTCAGTGTACTCTGAACTTCAGCACACACTGTGCATTCTGAAGATGCATCTGAAACCATGTGTTTCACTTGTAAAAGCAAATGAAGATGAATTGAGCATAGAAGGAAGAACGCTGTACTGGGCAGTAGGATGATTGAATTCTAGTTTCTAACACCAAGTTATTATATTTCCTCACATATGTCTCAACATTCTTGGGCCCGAGTTATGTGATTTGTAAAATAATGATCTCCAATGTCTCTTTAACAGTTAGCGTCGTATTGTTCTGAATTCATCTAAACAAGCAATGTAAGGTTTCTATTCGATAATGAAGGATAAGCATTTCATTCCCATGGAGCAATTCTAATATTTGGGACTGAAATATGTGAGTACGTTTTAGTAACCACAGTAACGTTCTAAATTACACGAATGTGATTAAATAAGCATAGGAAGCAATACAGAACATTTCTGCATCACTTAAAATTTCATTGTGATTCTGCCTCCATTTATGAGCTTGCCCCCCTTTTGTATTTTAAATCTTCTTTCAGGAGATAGCATGAACATAAAGGCTTGGATTGTTAAACATGGCATACATAGGGCAATAAACGTGCATGTTTATCTAGATATAGAAACGGTGCGATTACTCAAGTTAAATATTTTCTAAAGACACTCCTGTGAAAGACTAAAGGCACTGCCTTGGGAGTCACTTGCTAGAATTGCAGACAGTTGCCATTAGTATCCAGTTATAAGAGGCAAATCTGAAAAAGAAAGAACAGAGAAGAGAAAAAGAATGTTTCCTGTTATGGACTCACCTATTACAACTGCGTGATCTCAACAGACATGCCAAGTAATGCTCTCCTGCCTAGCCAGAATGTTAGCATTCCCAAAGAATGAAGCTTTTTGTGTCCCTTGGATCGTCTGTGTCTTCCTCTCTACACTGGTTCAGCAAGGAACAGAGGCCTTTCAGTGTGGCAATGGGGTCTCAGTGCCTCCTGACAATGTGTGTGATTTCACAGATCACTGTGGGGACAAGAGCGATGAACAGCAATGTAAGTGCCATTCGTTTCTTTTCTCCAGTTTCTGTGTACGTTTCCACCAGGCGCCGATGAGCAGTCAGGGAGATTCAGCTAGATATCTGGCCCTGCATGGATTTAATTTATAAGCCTATAGAGTAAGAGAGAAACTAAAATAGTTTTTTTCATTAAAGAGACAGGCCCATAAATAAAAATTACTCTAATTAAACAATATCAAATTGCAAAGATTCTAACTGGCTGGGATGTATTTTAAATTAGTTTTTACTGATTCCACAGAAAGAGTGATAGGCAGGAATGTAGCTTTTGATGTTATATTAGTAGAGCAAAATTCAAAAGATGTACATTACTGCAGCTTTGAGATTCTGTGATGGAAATTATGAGCATAAGTTTGAATTCAGTATGAAAACATTTTAAATACATTCTGAATTAAATGAGTAGATTTTATTTTTGCTGATAGGTCCGCACCACCGAGTGAAATGATTACGCACTGAGCACGACTCCCTGGCTTGTGTCATTTGATTTCAGGTTGAGGAAAGAGCACAGGCTCCACAGAGTGCAGGACCATCCGCTAACTGTGTGATCTTGAACCTCCGCTTTATTACACAAGGTGATAAAGTGAAATAAACCAGCTCTCACAGGAGGGAAAATGCTCCACTGCCTACTGGTGCGATATTAATAAAAAGGAACCACTTACCACAGGGAGACATGGGTAAAGACTTGTACGTGTCTGTAGTTTTTCTGCCAATATGACATCCTGAAGGAATGACTGCTTTTCACTAATGGAACAGTGTCCTTCTTACATGTAATCAATCGCCTTTCATAGGCAACATTTTCATACAGTTAAACGGATTCATTGTTGGTTCATAGTATTATCCACTCAATTGTCTGAAGGCACTAATTCTAGTTAGAGCACTTTAGTCAAACATATTTTCTATTTTTATTCAGATATTATATTAATTAGGGTTTACAGAATTATTTTGTTCAGATAACTATATTAATTACTATTTGCAGAATTTCTTCTGCTCGAATAGGCTCTGCAGGTTCGATTGTGCTGTTGTTGGCCTTCTGTTTACAAATTCAGTTGTTACATTAAAACAAAAGAGTTTACTGAAAAATTTCTCTGTAGAAGAAAACAGCCTAATGAGTTTTGTCCCATAGTTTGGGAGAGCTAGCTTGCAGTTAGTAACTATTAAATGCAAAGCACGGCCAAAGACAAGGATTCATTAATATTTGCCCAGTTTCCCCAGGAAGGCTCCATGTGGGCGAACTGCTCTGGGGCCTGTGTGGGAAAGCCCTTGCTGGCTTCTCTGATGAGCAGCAAGGAGGAATCACACCGCTGGCTTGACAAGAAGTGCCGAGTCCCTTCCATTGTTAATCTCTATGAATCTCCGCTTAGCACGCTTGCCGTGATAACACGATGGCCCTGCTTCAGGGAAAAGGCTAACGCGAAAGACGGGGGAAGCCGCGGGTGGGAAAGGTCTCGGCTGCCTGAGCAATTCTAGTAACGTGCAGCGTGGAGCAAAGCGAAGGCACGCATCTGTCAAAGAAGCAGGTTTCGTTTTAAATGTTACATTGGGAGATCACCTTTTGGCTCTTTCATTTTTCATTTTCATTTCTGAGACGTTTTCCCTTTGGTATTTTATTTAAAGTGTGGACCAGAACCTGTAGATAAAATTGAGAATCACTTTAAAGTGTGAGTTTCTTTTCTGTACCACACTAGGGGGGAAATATTGTCAAGGCATCCTAATGGCCGAGCAGTTTCTCTCAGGAAAATTTGGGAAGCTAAATTTACAGGTGAGGTTTTTAAAGCGACTTTAATGGTGTTAAAGTGGCCACATTTTGAAAAAAATCAACCCGTGCCCCCCTTTAATGTCCAAATGATGTGGCCTTTAAGAAACAGGTTAATGGGTTGACTTTTCTTAATGAAGGTGACATAGTTGAAGTTGAATTTCAGATGCAACCAATTCTATTCATAGGTTTTTGAAAATGTTCTCACTTTACATGATGGGACTCTTTTTAAGAATACTCACGCTGTTTATTTTAACTCAGTGCTTTTTAAGATATTAGGTTTAGAAAGACTGAATCTTCCCAATGGAATAAATTCTATTTATGCACGCTATTGAGCACTTAATATGTAGTGAGCAAGGGAAATGATTTTTAAGCGTAACAACTATTGGGTTCCAGTCCTGACAAGAATCCCCTTTTATTAGACTTTATTGATATCCTGAGCCAGGGAAATAAATGCGGTACTGGTCTGGATTTTTTAAACAAAATCACATTCCAAGTGTTGCATTGTCTGCTTCCAAGCAGATTCCCTTTTCCTGGTCTTCATTCTCTTGTATGTTCGTTTGTTATTTATTTTAATAGAGTCCGTACTAAGTATACAGATAGTCTAACTCCTCTTCTAGCATTTGCTCCAAATTTTTTGATGTACAAAGGCTTTACTCTGCTTTATTCTTTTAACAATAAAGGTAGATGTGTTACTTATATTGCTACCATTCAAATATAAATCAATCAAAATTACAAAGGNAAAGGTAGATGTGTTACTTATATTGCTACCATTCAAATATAAATCAATCAGAAAATTACAAAGTGTACTGTTGATACAATGTCGAGATATATCCCATGCAATGGATCCCTACCAGTGGAGTGTTTCCAGAAAGTATATTTAGAAAATTACTTTTGCATACCTGAAGGGAGTATTAAAATTAGTTGTTATATATTCACTTTCAGAGCTAAATTTACTCTAAATTCACTGTGATTCAAAAGAGAAAATAATATTCAGTTAATCAAGTACTTTTCTCCTTACCTACATGTCATGCGTAAGAACTCTTTTATTTGTCCTACCTAGTATTTTTATAAGGAGATAGAAATCTATTTTATACCTTGGTTTGATGGAATATATCATAAAGATTTGAGCTTTTACCTATTTTCTTTTACAAACATTTTAAATTTAAGAACAAGAATTTTTTTCACTTCATATAAATCTAAATTTATATACAAAATACGTAAAAACTACCTTAGAGTTGCATTCTCAGAATCTGAGAGGTGATAGTGTTTTACCTAAGTAAAACATTATTTCTTCACTAGAATGACATAAATAGCAAGTGCCTTCAAAATAATTGGTTCATTGAAGTAGTTGACAATAAAGCATTGATAGAGTGAAATGTGGCATTTCAATACTTATTTTGTTACATTGGATGCAAAATTTTTATGCACATTGTCATGAAACAACTAATAAAAATCCTTTAAAAGTCCTATTTACCATGGCAACATATCTTAGTTTGGGCTACAATCACAAACATCATAGACTGGGTGGCTTAAACAACAAACATTTATTTCTCACAGACCTAGGGGCTGGGAAGTCTCGGGTCAAGGTGCTGGCAGAACTGATGTCTGATGCGGGCCCTTTTCCTGGTTTGCAGACAGCTGTCTTCTTGCCACGTCCTCACGTGGAAGAGAGAGGTCATCTCTAGTGTCTCTTCTTGTAAGGGCACTGGTCCGATCTTGAGGGTTTCATCCTCATGACTCAGTCACACCCCTGAGACCTCACCTCCAAATACCATCGCACTGGGGATTAGGGCTTAAACATACACATTCTGGAGGCAAACGAACATTCACTCCATAACACAACAGAATTATATATGTAAGAGATCTAATAATAGATATGTACAGCTTAGTTAAAGAAAATTAGAAAATTTTCCCAGACTTCAGTCTTGGCCTAAATGGGTGCTATAGTTTTGAGTCCTATGACATTTACCTTAATTTTATGTAACAATTTAAGTGCACTGAATTGGGTGCTCAATGAAAAATAGCAAAATATCTTTTTTTTTAATTTTTTTTTATTGCATTAGGCAGACTCTTTAGACCATTTTTCTTTACTATCTCTGCAGATCTTTAGGTCTTTCCTGGTGTGTAGCCACAACTGTAGAACCATTATCACAGAAGAAGAAAGCCTTCAAGTTCTTCTAGGTCAAAAGTCTCATTTTGTAAATGAGAATGAGGAGAGACCTTAAGCCAAGAGGTTAATATGTGCTAATTAAAGGTGCCTCAAGACTCCAAGTGGGGTTCCTGTCCACCTTATGTTTGAAATATGAGTTACTCGAGGTCTTATAAGAGTGGTTATAAAATCTGTTTTTCGTACATTGGACAACTTTAGAGGACATTATAAAACATATTAAGTTTCTAAATAAAACTGCTGCCCAGCCGGGCGTGGCTCAGCGGTTGAGCGTCGACCTAGGATCCAGGCGATCAGGGTTCGATTCCCAGTCAGGGCACATGTCTGGGTTGCGGGCTCGATCAATGACTCTCTCATCATTGATGTTTCTATCTCTCTCTCTCCCTCTCCTTTCCTCTCTCTGAAATCAATAAAGAGATATTTAAAATAAATAAATAAATAAACAAACAAATAATAAATAAATAAAACTGCCCATTAGTTACTGATGTCAGAATATGGGCATAACTCTTTCAAATTGTTTCCTTTCAATAACATTTGGATATGGACAGTTTTACTTATCTATACCACACTGTCAACCTAAATACTTTCAGATCTCTTATGTATGATTTGTGCCAGTTGCAGGATACTTCTGTTGAGGTGAACTGGAAGAGGAGGTACCTGTGAGAATACAAATTATTGCGTAGAGTGGAATGAATGGAAAAGTGAGATAAAATGGATAGCAGTGCAGATTTTAACAAGAGAAAGATACAGCAAAACCTGAGCCCACAGAACTGCACACTGGCTTTAGTGTTTATCATGAAAGGCCTATGGGATTTGCCTAAGAATGGCTGGTGGAGGCAAAACCAGAGGAGATAGAAGATAAGACTTAGGGAGAGGGGCATCAAGAATGCTGAAATCACAAATTCAAGAAGACTTGGAGTGTTTTTAACAAAGACTGTAAACCTTTTTGTGCAAAGGAAATGAACTTACAAACTCCTTGTTATAACACTTGCCTACGGAGAGTCTGAAAATTTTCCAATGAGCAAGGGATAGCAAATGGAAATTAGACGTATCCACT